GTTCTCTAAATTAGGATCCTGTTTTAGGCACCAAAGTTGTACGGAATTCTTATGACAAGGACCCTAAAAGGGACCCAACTACAGAGAACTACTCACCTATAGAAACCCTTATAGACAGATTTAGCCCTTTAAGAAGGAACCCTATAAACACAAAAACATATGCGTATATATATATATATATTTCTCTCTCTCTCTCTCTCTATATATATATATCTATACATATATATATATATATAGAGAGAGAGCTACCCATATCTTGGTGAGCCAGGATCTCGATCCGGTGTGGAGTTCACACTGGCAAAGTGCTCGTTGGCAACATGGGCACCTCGACGCAAACTTGAGCTCGTCTGGGGTAAGGGGGGGGACTTTCGTGTAATGGGAGCAGGGCTTTGGGGCTCAATTTCAGTGTTCTATACTAAGACTAAGGAGCCTTGAGGAATGTTGGTTCGATGCCTGCTGTCGCTAAGAAGCACTCCAAACACACTTCCTCATCTTTTGCCGAGTCGTGTTTCGAGGTGGCTGTTCGGGCCAGGGTAAGTGGTGTGTTAAGACGAACAAGCGCTGAAGTGATCCTGCCGGTGACTTCAGCTCTTTCGGCGTGCGTTGCTGTTGCGCCCTTCGGGCAAGCCAGAAGGTCTCAGCCTCGCTGGGCAGCTGCAGTACCAAACATCACCACCTGCACTCGCCGGGCACTACCACCGCCCCATGCCGATCACCAATTTTGAACCGCCATGCTCCCTAGCATCATCGTTGTCAGCAGTCGCCAACTCGCCCCAGTATTCACGATGATGATTGTAAGCCTGTCGGCAACTCAGGCATGCAATCGCGGATCAAGTACGGCATTGCTACTCGGCTGCTTTTTATTAGACCACCTGGTTCACGTCAAGAGCTGCCCGCCAAGTTGGATGTACGGCGGCTGGAAAAATAGTTTGTTTGCCGGAGCTTTGGCTTCAATTCGCCAAGACCTAACCTAACCCTAACCTTACATGACTCGTCAATACACATTTCTTGCGCCGAAACAAGCAAAGACGCATTCCAACAACTGCAGGAAAATATTATGTATGTGGTGCAGTACAGTGCTGCTTGCACGCATGTGTCGCTTTCGAACAGTTTTCGATCTCTGTAGGCAGAGTCTTACAGCTTCTGTGGCTTCTAGCATTGTGATTAGTCGCGTTGCGCCGAGTCCTCTCAGGTGGGTGATGAGTGCAGCATGCCGGGGCGGCTGGAAGAGCTCAACAAGACTTATGGCACGCAGCCACTTTCCGAACATGGGCACATGAGGGCCAAAGGCCTGGTCATTGCTAGGACTGTTAGTGTCGAGGGTGAATCTGCATCTAGAGAGTTCAAGGAGAAGAGACCAGCATGAAACTGAGGTTGCTGGTCTCTGAGACGACACACACGGAGTTGGATATCGAAGGCTTTGTGTCACGCCCTATAGATGCTTAGCCTGCATTTGAGAATTTGAAGAGCATTGGAGGAGGTTGCGTTTCCGGAACGACAGTCTTTGTTGTTTCGAGCAGATCGGTTGACGGCAAAGCCAAGAAGTTCTTTTGCCTGGCGATGTGAGCCCCAGGAGTTGTTCCGCACACCTAGGGCGCCTCAGCCCCTTGGGGCGGTGTCTTCGAAGAGACACCGACTGCCCGGGTCACAGCTAGCACCGGCCAGCTTCTCAGATCCGAGGACTTTATCCGACGGTCTGCGGATGCTTCAGAGAGCGAGCAGAAACTCGGTGAAAGATGGGCTGTGCTGTGAGTCTTCAGGTTCCCGGAGTATCTCCGCAGATTCAGCTGCCCCTGCGCAGAAATAGATTTGTGTGCTTTGATAGTCCCCAGACCAGAAATAAATCTGAGAACGAGAATAGTCCGTCCAAGGCATTGTTCGAGTTTGGAGAGGGACACATGCAGTGTTTGGATGTGTTTTGCAAGCTTGCATCATACTCTAAGCCGTGTTAACTATATTGCAACACCACCTGCCACTAGCTGGACGGCCACATCACACATCGACGCTCAATCAACTCCGCATTATTCTGAAACTGTCGGCATGACCAAGGATATTCGAAGTCTGGAAAGCCAACCGTCGTCCCTCCAAGGCCGTTTCACATGGGGGCTAGTGTCTTTGAATGGGTTTAGGGAGTACGGCAGCTCAGCACTTGATTGGAGGTGGTTCTCTCATACTTAGCACATTTGGGGGCTGCTTTCAACGCTGAACTTTCGCCTGAAGGACTCGTCGAGGGTTTGGGTTCAGGGCTCTAAACCACGAAGAGAGCCCCAAACCAGACGGATTCACACTAGAAAAGCAATTTCGGTCAGAGCCGAAACGCTAAACCCTAAACCCGATGCCTCGCCTGGATTGTCCGAGTGTGAGAGCCGAAACCCGCACTTTGCTTTGACGCATGTGTTGATTGTTTCACTTTGCAGACCTCGCACCATATGCCTCGCCTGGATTGTCCGAGTGTGAGCGCCAACACCCGCACTTTGTGAGAACTGCGCAATCCCTCGGCCCGCCAGGCCACGCTCGAGGAAAAAGCAGCTGACCTCTACACAGAGGTGCGGTTTGGTGTTCCAGTGTCGGGTTCAGGGTTTAGGGTTTAGGGTTTTAGGGTTTAGGGTTTAGGGTTTCGGGTTCAGGGCTTCAGTCAGGGGTCTCCAGCACAGGTTGGGCGCAGGCCGGAGCATCCGTGATGCTTGTTCGACTTGGAGCAGTGTCTAATAGAGCTGTCAGAAGACTCCAACGTATGCGGCCACGGCTCAAGCATAGTGTCCAAAGCCCAAAGTCGTGGGAGTGAAGCCTTTGCGCTGCAAACGCACCCGCTGAATATGGCAGTCAACGAGGCAGTGCACGAGATCTTTCTCCCCTTAGAAGAGGAGGTTTGTGATACATCGGCGACGGTGTTCCTCTCCATTCTCTGCTTCTTCGGCCTGGCGGTGAGCTTCTTCGGATATCGGATTTACAAAGTTGCCTTTGCGTTCTTCGCCTTCCTAGTGGGTTTCGGCTTGGAGGCCCTGGTAGGATCGCACTGGATCAGCGAAATGCCGGAAGAGGCCAGCACGGTGAAGAAGGTGATTGTGCTCGTATGCTGCGTGCTATGGGGAACCTTTGTCATAGTTGGGTAACATTTTACATTTTTAAGGGTACTTAAACCAAACAAGGAATATATATATATATATATATACATATATATTTATATATTTATATTTTTAATACTACCCCAACCATGAACTAGGAACGGTGGCAGCAGTGCTCGCGCGAAGGTGCCGGGAGGGCATCGAAAAGATGCTGGGCATCGTCTTTGGCATCTTTCTTGGCCTGGCTGCCACCTGCCTCCTCGTGTATGCCCTACAGAAGCTTAGATAGCCAATGGGAGAATTCTGAGAACTTTAAACTTTTTGTCCTTATATATTTAGTCTATCATAGAAAGTTTGAACTTTTTTGGGCTTGGTTGTTGAAGAAGAGAGGAAGCCACTGGATTCTGCACTTGGTGATGCCTACAAGGGCTGGGACCAATTTGGAGGCGTCACCGTCGGAGTTCCACTCGCTTTGCTAGCAGGATACCTCTGCAGAACCTGGGTGACTTAGTTCTCCAATACCCGCAACCTTTATAAACTTTTTGGGTTCTTATAATTCAGAAGCAATCTGAAAGTGTTTAGCCTTTTTTTACCTTGACTTATTGGGGAAGTTTAATTACCCTGACCTGTTTGGGGAAGTAAGGTGAAGCACTTAATCATCCCTAAACCCTAAACCCTAAACCCTATTGGGGAAGTACAAGGTGAAGCACTTAATCATGATTGTCACCGCCTTTTTCGGGGCATGGGCCGCCTGGCGCTGTGCCTCGAGCTTGCTCCGGTGTGCGGAGGTGGACTAAGATATGGGGTTTAGGGTTTAGGGTTTAGGCTTATTTTGGGGTCTTTATAATAGGGATCCTACTATTTAGGGTACTATATTAGGGTCCCCTATTTTCGGAAACCCCATATAGAGCCGAAAGGGTACGACGGGTTAGGATGCTTTTTTTTGAAGCACCCCTAGTTCGAGTTCCATGAAGTATGTAAGACGCCTCCAGGTGGAATCCCATGTGCTAAGTCGACACGTCATCAACCTGCTTATTGTCGTTGGCCTGGGTGTCCTTGGCCTCGTCGCTCAGATCTTGTGGCAACCTCGTGGGGAACGCAAGGTGCAGGAGCGGACGGTGGCAGGAAGCGTGTGATCTCCTTGGCCGAGAGTCCAGTACAGGGGGCCTAAGCGCAACGTTCCATTCCCAAATTCCCTCAGAGACTCCAATATGCCTTAATCAAGGGTCATTGATGAAGCATCCGTTCTATTCATGATAGTACGAGGAACACACCGTAATTCAGAATTGATGGAGCCTTTGGGTTTGTGCATCGTGTAGCTTTTGAGCGAGATCATGTTGTACGGGCCGTGGTGACCGAAGCCAGCACGATGAGGCAGTGTACAGGGCTGGTCGCTCGAGTTTCGCCTGCAGGGATGGAAGACCTCTGGGCGTCCCCGGTGCCAGTGACACGGTTGTAGGCGTTTGGAGCTTAAGCTTGAGATCCGTGTTGTTTTTTTCGGGGCGAGCCTAAGTTACAAAGTTCTTTCCTGCATGATCATTGCTTTTAATTCGGCAGAGGCCCGCCCACGCTCATTACACTCGAGCGTAGTGTGGTGATGACCAGCTTCATGCTTTTGCACAAGTCTGCATGGAGTGGCGTGGCCCTCAGTCAAAGAATTGCGACCGGAGTTCTTAAAACGATTGGGGACCCTACAAATCCTGTGCCTGCCGCGCGCCAGCGTGAGAGTCGAGTTTCTGTGCAGAAGAGGCCTCAAACCCTCAACCCCATCCAATGTACATGCGAAGCCCACGAACAAACACCATCAGTGATGGAGGGGCTCCGGAAGATAAGAACTTGGTTTAACAGAGCAGAAGAAAGGAACCGCCAACGCAATCACGCCAGAAACTGTGGTCATGCAAAGCCCGGCTAAGTCCGAGTTTGCTGGGTTGAAGCCTGGTTGTTGTAGATTTTCGAATTTGAATGAGTGTAATTTTTCGGATTTTGCAAACAAGGCTTTGGGGCCCTAAACCCCTAAACCCTAAACCCCTCAACCCTGAACCCTAAACCCAAAACCCTAAACCCCTCAACCCTGAACCCCAAACCCTAAACCCCTAATCCCTAAACCCCTAAACCCCTAAACCCTAAACCCCTAAACGCTAGAAGCTCTTCTGTCAGGCCGTGGAGCACTACCGCCATGGCCGATTTGAGCAAGTGGCCTGGAGAGACGCTTTAGGGGTTTAAGGGGTTTAGGGGTTTAGGGGTTTAGGGGTTTTGGGTTTGGGGTTTGGGGTTTAGGGTTTAGGGTTTAGTTTTTTTTTGCAAGCTTGCAGCTTCATTCTTCGTGGTTGAGACCGATTTGTGTGTTCTGGCTGTTCTGAGTGCGGGAAGGTTTGTGATCTGATTGCTGTAGCTCGTCTTTCTGATGCTTTTCCTGATGTCGGATGTCACACGATTTGAAGGTACTGGGATGATTGAAATATGTTGGGAGAAGCGGCACAAGTCCTTCGCCCCATAGTACCTGTAGCAAGATTACACCTACCAATAGTAGTCATAACAATCGTAGCCTGAATAATTTTACGAAGCCATAGTAATAAGAACCATAGTAGTAAGCCTCAACCCCAGAAGGCCTAAAGCCTCAACCCTTCAGCCGCACCAAAGCCGAAGAAGCACTGAACTTGTGCATTGAGGCGAAGGAAGGTTTCACTGCTGCTGGCGAAGCCATGCAGAAACTCACGGGCGTGCAGGACTGGGAGTTCGGTCTACGGGGTCGGGATTTTGTAGGGGCCTGAATAATTACCTGCATTATTTTTGGGGCTTCATATCGTCATTATAGTATAGCATACCCCAAAACCCTACTCTAAGTATAAAGGCCCCTATACTAGGCTCTCTTAACCCTAAACCCTTTAGTTTTTCTGTCAGAGGGGGGTTAGGTTAATGCCGTGAAGCTGTCCCCGGAGTGGCGCTGAAGACTCGTTTTTTTTTGAGCTCTAGAGGAGACTGGGTCTCGGAAGCCAAGAGGCGTTGAAGTACTATCCTCATATGTAGCACCCAAAGTCTACGGGTTGTGTGCAGGATGTATCTTCTGCGCTGATGCTGCAGCGCTGCCTCTTTTTCTGCAAGTTGCGACTGATTCTGAATGTAATGCAGCCTTTTTAAAAAGTCAGCAATAGGAAGCCCTGATAGTTCATGTAGACTTATACCAAGATATACCCTACAACTCTACTTTACTGGTAATTGCTCAGGCCCCTATAGAAGATGGCCTTTGAGCTTAGCCTGGGAGCTTGGCAATGTGTCAGATTCAGCCAATCCTTTCCTTCCCACCAGAGTTTATCGGGCTTCGGGTTCAGAGTTACTTGGAGACCTGCTTGCGGCAGCGGGCCGCTTATCATTTCGGTTCTTGAGTGACTTTCTGCATTCACTCCTTGTCTGTGTGAATGCAGATCTTGCGGCTTGGACTGGTTCCATTCTAGATCTCTAATGGTTCTGCTCCTCGGCCATTATCAGTTTTGCAAGAGCACATCTGCAACGGCTCGTTTGTCATGTACTTTGGACCCTACCACACATTCGTTAAAGCCCTAAACCCTGGAAGCCCTAAGCCCCCCCAAAGCCCCAAAACCTTGAAGACCCGAACGCATAAACCCCTAAAGCTCCTGAAGCCGAAGCCCTTAAGGCCCTAAGCCAGGGTTTAGGGTTTAGGGTTAAGCCCTAAGCCCTACAGGGCACTCTCGTCGTTGAGACATGTTGAGGGAAGGCTCTTTTTTGACTCCTTGGCAGAATCTACCTGGGTAGTTCATTAGGGTCCCTTTTTTTATAAGGGTGCCGTAGTAATTTTCTTCTTGGGGACCCAAAAAGGGACCCTAGTTTAGAGAATTACCCACCTTAGTGTTCTTAGGACTTTTTGGGTTAAGGGTTTGGGGTTTTGTGAAGTCCCTTGATTCCGGCTTGCCGGCACACACCCAAAGCCCTTGCTGAAGGGTTTAGAGTTCGAGTCGGTCAAGGGTTTTTATGTCCTAAATTTCCCTAAGCCATAAACTTCCCCAAATTTCCCTGAACCCTAAATCCGAGCCTACATTTCCCTTTGATGAGTTTCTTCTCCTCATGGCTTCCTCCATCGAGGTGTGTCCTATGCCGAGAACCCTCCGCCCGAGGACTGGGATGGAGCAACGAAGCTGAGAATCTAAGGGGTTTAGGGTTTTGGGGTACTGTGGTTGACGGGTTTGTGATTTGTAGGGTTTATAGGCGTTGCAGCGCACATAGTCATATAGCGCATACAGATTTAGGATGAAGATTGTCTGATACTCTGGTTTTGGGATGGGGATGTCTGGAAGCAAGCCCGAGACAGCAGACTTCGTCGCACTGCGAATTGCATGTTCAGTTGACGCAGGCTCAGTTGCAGCATGGACCTTAACACCGCTTTCGCGCTCGCTATCTATTTGCGATTGCTTTCGCTTCTCGATCTCTGTCTCCATCTAACCCTCCCTCCCTCTCTCTTTTTTTTTCTCCTCCTCTCTCTCTCTCTCTCTCNNCTCTCTCTCTCGCTCTTTCTCGCTCTTTGTGTGTGTCTCTCGCTCTGTCGCTATCTCTCTCCCGCCCTGTCTCTGTACCTCTTGGCCGTCTCTCCTCGCCCCTGTCGCTTCTTCTCTCACCATCCTTCAGCTATGACTCAATGCATCTGGCCATGTAGCAGTCGGTCAGTCAGGCGGCATATAACTGTTGCATCTATGAACCTGATTTTGCATGTCCAAACCATGCAACTGTATCGGTGCGTTTGTGTTGTGGTGACTATGTTCATGTAATTAGATAGACCAATCGATAGATCGATGGATAGACAGAGGTAGACCTGCCTGCCTCCCTATACCTACCCACCTACCTACCTGGACCTACCTACCT